TGAGAAACATATATTATCATTATTAGAAACAATGTTATTTTTCTGTCTATAATATACATCTATCTAATACGAAACAGATCTTTAATCAATGATAACCAGAATCTTTTATTAATTCAAATTAGTTTTAATGATTCTGAGAAATAATTAAATATTAAAAAAATATTTTTGCACAGAAATTTCAATTAATTTTGTGACTGGAATTATTAAAATCGCTTCAACATTGCGTTCAAGGCAACCTCCAAAACGCTGGCAATTGGCCATTCGGAAAGTTGGCTTAATTGCCAACGGTCATTAATTCGAGTAGCTCGAAATCGTGTGAAGGATTTTTCTGCAACGTCCACCATGGGTCGCGTGACAGTTGTTTCGTAAATACTACTATAATTTTCTATGCTTAACACTAACAAACCTATCGAAATGATAGATTACATACACTTTTTCTTTCATAATTACGAAAGACATCCCGACAAAAACCCTTGACGAAATTCTCGCCCAAATTACAATTACCCTAACCTCACTTTTATTCTAATCGTCCACGCGCGTATAAATAGAAGAATAATAATTTTTAATAAGAAATGTTTAAAGAAAAAATACTAAGAGAATACTAAGAGAAAGAAAGAAGGAGGAGGATGAAAAAAGAAGAATACAAGAGGCATGTACGAACGATTAATATTCGAGTGAGTGACCAGGCCATAACTTTGATTATAATTTAACAGGTGGCTGCATCGCGCGGATGACGTTCAAGCCGGCCATTTTATGCAGACGACATGCGTGAAACGTCAACAAGATGGCTCACGCTGGTGGAACGTCCCTCATCAATATCCATAAGTCAAAGGACATCCGTCTTCGCGTACACACGCGGAATAATTTACAAGGATCCGTGATAACCGAGCGGAGGGATCGTTGGTGAGGGAACGTGCGTGAGGTAATAATGCAAGGGAACGAGGTGACGCCGTTTCCTTTCGACGACGATCCCGATGATAAGCGGCGACGAAGGTTGCATTTTGTTTTATTAATGAATCGCAATAAATACGCCCTTCCGCGTAGAAATGGGAGGGGAATGAGGCGGGAATCGAAGGACAAAGAAGGAATCCGAAATCTGCCTTGGGGGAGAAACGATCCGGGAAGAAGAAACTTGGTACAGTTAGAGAGTCGTTTAGATTGCGAGTGATCACGCGATACGAAGATGGCTGGAAATGAGCGACGCGAGTCGAAGTGAAACGATTATTGGACAGGAGTGAGTGATGCGCTGCGAAAATGCACCTCGAGCTGGAGATGATCGCGGAGAGAAACGTTGCAAATTGGAGACGATTAAAGCGAAAACATTACGAGCTGGAGATGATTAGAGCGAAACAATAATTGGAGAAGAATAACGGGGGATTGGAGCAGAAAAATAAGAATTAGAATCAGAGCGGTGAAGATTGGTGAATATTAAGACGAAATAGGAACGCGGATTGGAAGCAGAAAATTAAAAATTAGCTTCAAAGCGAGGTATAAAACGAATCAATACGGAATGGAGGAGGTACTGGAATAAAACAAAAGAAATTAGAGAGACGAAATGGAACGAAAGATTGTAAATTAAAAAAGATTATGATCAAATAATGTGAGCTGCAAAAATATGTGAAGATAGGAAGCATTGCAATGAATTGGAGAATCAGCATTGAAACAAAATCAATGAAATTAAAGCGGAAGAAGGTGATTTATATCAAGATTGGAGAAAGTTACAATTCCAATAATACAAGATCGAAAAAATGATAAAATTTTGATTTAAGTGATTTGGAATTAAATTGAAGAAAATTGAAATTGAATAACAACAAGGATTATTTTAAAGAGTTAAAGAAGAATCGGTATTTGTATTTAATTTTTAAAGCAAATTTAATATTCCTCTTCTAAAGCATTTTTTTCTGATTACATCACTCTTATGTCACGCACAACCTTCAAATTTTTTATTTTGTCTTACGACAAGTTTGGATTACAAAATAAATATCACGAAGAACAGTTAATCGAACTCTTTTAATTTAATTCTTATTTCATTTATGATTGTTAGTTTTATAAACGGTAAAATATGATTGAATCGCAATGAAGAATGAAATTAATAAATCTTATTTCCATCGTGAAAATAAATCTTTATCAGTTCAAATAATTAATTTCTTGTATAATTTTCCAAGAAATGAAAGATGATTGTATTTCTTTATTATACTGTTAATAAGTAAAAAATAAAAAAACGTTTAACATACGTTCCTTTTTCCCGATACCGAGATTCTTTCAATTTAAATTCATGACTGGCGTCTTTGTGAAATTTCTAGTATAAGCAGACATCATGTATACCTCATCCAACATCCATTAATGACATTTTTACTTCCGTTGGAGGCAAAGAGACATTAGCATCCGTTTTAACAAAATATTTAAAGACTCAATAATCATTCACCACGTAATAAAAAATTTATCATATGAGGTATCAAAATTAAATTATGTAATTACATTGACATTTAACGCGCACGCCGACTTTAGAATGATAAATTAATATTATAGAATAAACAAGAATTTTATATATATTCTTATTTCATATTTTTATTACGATTATCCTATTTTTCGTTATACGAGAAAATTGATGAAAAATAAATGAATAATAGAAAAATTAATATAATTTATTGTTTCTATATAATAATCCCAATATAATAATATTTTAAAAATAATATCTTATTTTTGTCAAAAGATCCTGGATATTCTTACGTTAATAACGTTCTTTATAATTTTAAAAAAATAAAAAATTCATTTTAGTATGTTAAAACGTAAACCAATCCTTTCGAAATTTGTTTTTATTCAAGTCACACGAATCTTGAACGAATCACATTCCCTTTCATAGTAAAAACATAAAGTATGCGAGTAACAAGATCTATTGGGAACAATAAAAAAAGACGAGTCGCGGATCTAAATTGGTTTCGTTAATCGTCGATCAGTTTGCTTAACGAAACAAACGATGAAAAGAGTTGAAGTAATCAGCCAGAATGGACAATCGGTTAGTAAAGGAACAAATTTAAAGATGGATGCAGATTGAAGATCGTTTCTGTGTCGCAACAATTGGCGCTTTTCAAAGGACAATTTCTCAATTACGTTAATATCGGATAGGTTAAAAAGCGACAATTCGTACGTTCCAGATGTACAAGTAATATTTCGAGATGTGAAAGAACGAAATATTTGAATTTTTGGATTTGTAAATTTAATGCATTTTTAAATGTTCAAATCTTTGAAATTTTTCAATCTTTAATTTCTTGAATTTTTAAATTTTTAAGTCTTTGAACTTTGAAATATTTAAAAAAAAATTTTTTAATCTTTAGATATTTGAAATTTTAATATTTAAATTTGTATATTTAAAAAAAAAAATTTTAATTCCTAAATGGAAAAACAATAAAAACAAATTTTTTTTCAAGACAACGTTTTCTTAATCCCTTGCAAGCGAAATTTGTAAATAATTGGTAAATAAAAATAAATTCAAGTAGGAGAAGAGTTTAGAAATTAAAAAAAAGGATTGGTCGAAGGATTGGTCGATCGCAAAATTAAAGTCTTGTCGAGATCGAGATACAAACTCCGCCTTAATTCTAGCCTCGAAACCACAATTTTCATTGCCTACATCCTCTGTTATTTGACGATTTTGCAACAAATCTACAATCATGCGACATTGTGTAATTTAACAACAACAAATATATTCGATAGTCTTTCTGAATTCTTTTTCTCTTCCTTGTTTGTATTAATAAAATATTTAAAATTTAAAGAATAAAATAAATAATAAATAATTAAAATTTTAATTAAAATAATAATTAGAATAAATATAATTTTAAATGATATATTACTATCTTATTCACATAAATTAATTAGTAATTGGCATAATTTAGCATCTTTCTTCCTTTTTTAATACATTTTTTCTTTATTATGTACCGCAATAATTTTCTATATTACTAAATATTCTATATTTTAGTAATATAAATATAATAATATAAATAATAATAGTCTATATTTATTCTATAATTTCTATATTACTAAATATTTATAGAATTATTTAGATTCATTTTCTTTTTTTAATAAAAAATTGTGCAAATGTTTAAATTTCAAATTATATTATTTTCGAGAATAATATCGATAAAAATAATATCGATAGATCGATATATAAAATATTGATGAAGATGCGCATTAAAACAAAATGGAGTTTCTATGCGTTCGCACATGAATAAAAATATATTATGTCACACGATATATTTTTATGTGGTTAATTACTGTTTTATTTATTGATTTTTCACTCACCGCATCGCCGTCTTGAAACTGCTCTGACTGGTTCTGTAGTAAAAAATATGCAAAAAAGATTTACTTCTTTCTCACATATACACTTTCCTCTCTATAGATTGTTTACAAATTATGCTTCACGTTGTGCCTATTTAAAAGAAAATATATATTAATCTTATGATAACTCAATGCCCTTAAAATTTATCTCTTTTAAAATATCTCTCTTAAAATATAATATAATATCGCAACTTTGTACTTTGAATTTTTGTGTATTTTTTTTATGATATATATGAATATAAATTAAATGAACATATTTACACATATAAAGCTTCGATCAACTAACTCGTATGTCACCATATTCTGAATACTTTATAATGTGTATTGATAAGTTAGGTTAGAAGTCCTAAGAAACTGCGTATAATACAAACGTAAACGATTGACAGAAAAAACTTTTAAATCTTAATATTTTATAATTAATTTTACCTTTAATTCATACACAGACTTCCTCGAAGCACATTAAACTGGCGGGTTTGAAGCTTATTTATGACGTCATCGAGCATTGGTCGATAAAAATTCAACATTTACCACAAACTACACCGACGCATCGTATGTTGCGTTACTGACTGTCGATTCTCTTAATGGTTGAGCTTCTCATATAAATGCAGATGTCACTGTCCAACGATGAACTGCCAAATGTGAGCGTAAGAATATATAAGTAGAGCATTTTCATTACGAATTTTACTATGAGTATACGATAAGTAGAGAACGTACGATATTAATTTTAATCATACAGATTTTCAGAATTTTTCGCGATCAGAACAATTCGAATTCCTTTTATACTTTAACATTCTGGGAAACGACTTATTCTGTATTAAATTTTATATAGCGTTAACAAATGTTTCGAATGTGACAGACAGCGTAACGATCCTTAAGGTTAAGTGATATTACGCTTTTTTATATTGTGATTTTTTTTTTTTAAACATTAAATTATTTAGAACAATGCCAGCATCAAATTCTATCAGCGTAGCTGTAATATGTTCTAGCAATATGAATAGAAGTATGGAAGCTCATGCCTTCTTAAGGTAATTGATTCAAATAATAATCAAATTATAAATTATTTAATTAAGTAAAAGTATTAATCAAATTAAATTTTTATTTTTCTTTTTCAGTAAAAAAGGCTTCAATGTAAAATCTTTTGGAACTGGTGATAAAGTCAAGCTTCCTGGAAATGCACCTGATCGTCCTAACATATATGACTTTGGAACTTCTTATGATGAAATCTATAATGATCTTTTATCAAAAGACAAGCAATAGTATCCTTTTTTATTATTAAATAAATAAATTTTTTCTTTCTTTTTATTAGAACATGAACAAGATTATTGGTTTTAAGATTTATATTTTTTTAATTTTTATTCTTTTACATTTTTTTTTTTTTTTTTTTTAGAGATTACAATAAAGTTTATGAAATAATTGAAAGTAAAAACTTCCTTAATCATAATATTAGTTACACACAAAATGGATTATTGCACATGTTAGATAGAAATCGTAGAATAAAACCTAAACCAGAACGATTTCAATTATCCAAAGATAAATTTGATATTTTAATTACTTGTGAAGAACGTGTATATGACCAAGTAATTGAATGCATGGAATCTAGAACTCAAGAAGATAGTCAACCTGTACATTTGATTAATATTGACATTCAGGATAATCATGAAGAAGCTACAGTGGGATCATTCCTTATTTGTGAATTAGTCACTGTGGTAACTTCAAAATTCATTTAAAATTCTATATTTACGTACTTCTATAATTTTTTAGCTAACAAAAATTTATTTTTCTAGCTGGCAAATAGTGAAGACTTAGATAATGACATAGATGAACTACTTCATGAATTTGAATCAAAATTTGCAAGAACAATTTTACATACAGTACTTTTTTATTGAAAAGCCTGTTATATAACAAGAACTTGGTGTTCACAACTTAACTTATAAAAGCAGATTAAATTATAAACTATAAATGTACCACCACATTCTCTGAATCAGATAATGTGGAGCGAGTTCCGTTTTAGCAACAAGTAGGAATTCGATCCGCGCTTCCTATTTAACGAATTATTGCTTTCCACGGAAATCGTTTTAGGGATCTACCATTACATTTATATTATATCTGTACTCCATGGCAAGATATACAAAATGAGATTATTGAACTTATTCAGTAATCCAAGATGCTGGTATCAGAGGAATTAGGAGAGATTAAAGAATAAAGAATATAAATTATGAAATATTTTAATTTTATAATATATACGCATATAAGCATAATAATAAACTATTCTTATATACGTATATATTTTACTGTTAGAATGTATTTGTGGTATGTAGAACTGATATGAGTCTCTGATGTGCTTATGAATACAGAGACTTGTATATTACAAAATATGATCCGCTGTTATATAGCGAAAAGGCCTTCAATTCTCACAATATAATATAAATATTCATAAAATCAATGTTGATCAAGATGAGCGTATAATCTTCTTGTTTTCTCACGTTTTTTTTTATTCGAATGTTTGTTAATCTTTTTCCATGGTTTTTCTTCAAGCAACAAACTCTGTGTAGAACCAGTTATTGATCCTATATCGCTGAAAAAATTACAATAATTATTAAAATATTCAAAATGACACGCTCCATTACTTATTATTATACATGAATTATTGTCAATAATTATACAAAAATGACTTTATCAAATAAATATAAAATAATGTTACGTACTTAGAACTAGATCGGCATAAACTATGCATTTTTCCAATCACTCCTTTTACATGAATATTAGAAATATTATTTTGAAAAAATACTTTATCTACATCTTCTGACGTAATTTTACTTCCTTTATTCGCGCGCACCGTTCTAGGCGGTAAATGTTTATTTTCAGAAATTATTCTTTTTCGTGAAGGGAATGTATGAAATTTTTTTTGTTCTATCGTTGGTGGTGCAACACAATATAACAATCTACCATTTACAAAATCTTTCAAAAGATATCGTGCGGAGCGTGGATTATCTGGTTGTCCATTTTGTGTCATGAAACCTCTACTATCTAATAAATAATAAAAATAAAAATAATAAAGGAAAATATAAAGATAAATATAAATTATTACATATGTATTCAAATTATAAACACATACATCCATAAGCATTTAAAATTTCTTCTGCAGTTGGAGGACGATCAGAATCTTCTCCTTCTAATGGTAGAGGTATCATAATCCCATAAAGATCCTCTATAATATGTCTTGGTATTAAAGTACCTAATAATGTAATTGAAGGTACATGATCTTTCATTTGATCAATTGGTAATATACCATGTATAATCATTTCAGCTTTTGTACAAACAAAAGAGGGCATTACTAATCCAGGACAATCACAAAGAAGTAGATCCTTATCCAAGAATAATGTTTGAAAATGTTTTGTTTTACCTGGTGTTGCAGATACTGATACTTTCTTGTCCATTAACAAGGCATTTATTGTAGAACTCTTACCTACATTTGGATAGCCAACTAAACCAATTGTTGTAATTCCTTTTGTATATGTTTCATCTTTATAAATTGTTTTAAAAAATAATACTAATTGATCTCTACTTAACAATTCTGATGAATTTTTTACCTCTATATTGTCTTCTATATTTTTTTTATCTATTTTCTTTTCTATTTTTAAATCATTTATATTGTTTTTATTGTCTTTACAATTTACTTTCTTCTCATTTTCAATATTGGTATTATTACTACCATCATCTGCACTTTCATATTCACTTTCTGAAGCAAATTCTGAAGTATATAACGATTTATCACTATCATCATTTTCTATGTCATTATTTTGTTCATTCTCAGAATAGTCTTCTTCTATTATATCTTTTATCTTTTCTTTCTCAACTGCTAATATGGCAGAAAAAAATGCAACTTTTAATTTAATATTTGTGAAATATTCTGCCCATATTTGTCTCTGTTCTTCTGTTAAAAAATCTGCTTTATTAATCAATATTATGTTCATCTTTTTAGAATCTACTTCTTTAACATACAATTCCAAATCTTCACAACGGAAAAGAAGTGGATTTCTCGCATCAACTATCTGTACAACAATATCACTGCGTTCTACTACTCTCCATAATTGTCTCCAAAATTCCAAATTCTTTTCATATGGAGTTAACATTAATCCCTCTGTTTCTTGTAACATAGAAAGAGAACGTCTCCATTCTAAAAATTCTTCTCTTTCTTTGCTTTGTAATTCATGAGCTGTTGTAGAACTATCCCATTTTGGCCTTCTTGGTATTTTCAGAAGTGTTTTATTTTTCTTTTGTGACTCCAACACTTTTTCTTTTTCATCTTTAGAAAGTAATCCGATTCCACTTTTTGGATTAACAAATTTGATGTTTAATTTCTCGGCATGAAACTCGGTTCCTGCTAACTCTGCAGTAGAAAGAAATTCTTGAAAAGAATTTTCTTCTGTGACGGATTGAAGATTAAGACGTCCCCAATCGTAACCATCATTTAATTCAGTGGTGTGAAGCTAATCGAAGATACAATTAGAATATTGAAAATTATTTATCATTTAATTCTTTTTCATGTTCAAAAAACGAACAGGTTATGAATGAAGGCATTACCTTACCATAGATGAATCAACATTTCTTTTATTTCTAAACGAACTAAGACGATCTCTAATCAAAGATTTTCCTAAATTGCCGCTTCTTACTTTTCCTTTTTTACCCATTGTATTAAATATTATATTACTTTAAAAAAGCATGGCGTGAGAATGATTGTTACTAAAACACAACTATCAAATATCGGAAGTAACGTAACGGTATGAACAGAATGTCAAAAAAATAAATATAATATATATTATAAATAAATAATAATTATGAATCATGTATTAAAAAATTATTTTTAAATGCAATTTAATGCATAAAATATTTTACGGATAGAATTAAAATATATATATTTATACATCATACATTTGAACTATTTTTATGTATATAGTTAAGATAAATCTATATCTAATATCTATAAATTATTTCTGGGGCAGAGCTTTAATCGAATAATTCTGCATCGTACTTCATTTTTATTAATAATTGATAGGTAAACTGTTCTGGTTCACAATTTTTTGACGACCAGTAACAATTACGAAACGTTCAACATGCTCCACATGCTTCTCTACCCTATTCCCGCACGCTCAATCAATTCTCAAAATCGGAACAAGAAAATTTCTTTCGCAAGGCAGCTTGTGAACAGTTGTTTTTTTCTTTTTTTATCCTTTTTTTATCCTTTTTTTAATCGGAATAATATCGGTGAGTCATTGGTTATATCTTATATATTACAATTTCTGCGGCTTTATACGATTCACCACACTTGTACACTCGTGCAAGTATTACAAGTTGCGGGAAAGAGGTCGCACTTGCTTCCAGCACGAATTCATCTCTTGCATTATTTAGAAATCTAGTCATCTAGAATATGGATAATCAGTCGCTTTTTCTGGCAAAAGGACAATTCTCTTCAAATAAAGTCCTTTCGGAAAAAGAAAATATACTTTCATCCAAGCACGCTGTATTAACGCCCACTTCGAGTTTCTTTTTTAGCACAGAATATAAAATGGCTCGCAACGTGTCTGATATGGGTCGTTATTTTACACTGCAATGCTCTTACAGAATACCACCGTTCTACGCATAAAATTCATTATCAATAACTGTACAACCTATTACGGAACAACCGGATCATTCGTGCAGGGCGAACGGCAGTATGTCAACATATATATAACATGCAGACACTTTCATTCTGAATAATTTCAATAATTATCTCTTCCTCGAATGCCTCGTGGTTGATCACCGTCACGTCCTCTACCGCGATTATTATACCCACTCCTTCCCATTCTTCCCATGTTATTGTCATTAGGTCCCCTATTCATGGGACCTCGATTAGGTCCAAGTTTATTTCCAAAATTACCAAAATTTGAATTAAAATTATTTGCTGGATTTTGTCCAGGATTCTGACCTCGAAAACCAGGACCGAATCCAGGTCGATCAAAATTGGGCGGACCAGAATTCGGTCCACGAAAATTTGGCAAACCTTGAAAATTGTTACCGAATGGACCTTGATTCGGTCCAAATGGAGGTAACGGACTCGGCCTAAAGTGTTGATTAGGTCCAAAATTACCATTTGGTGGTCTAAAATTAGGACCAAAATTTCCAGGTGGGGGTCCATTAGGACCAAAACCAGGATGCATATTAGGATGATGCATCATGTGCATTGGACCATCAATTCCTTGCATACCAGGATGTAGTGGTTTATTCTGCATAGGATGCTGGGACATATTTGGATGTGGCACTAAACTTGGAATGGGAGGAGTCATATTAGGATTAATATTCTGCATATTATGATGACTCGATATATGAGATATACTGTTGCCTAAATGGGGCATATTGTTACTTATGCCTATACCTATGGGTATGTTATCGCGTTTATCGAAATTGTTTGAAAAACCACCATCCCCTTTCCTGGGCCCATCATTCATCGACTTTTCATCATCCCATCGCGAACTACCGTCTCTATCTCTGTCATCATAAATATCGTTGTCCAAAGGCTTCTTCAAAGAAAATCCATGAGAACTCCTAAAATCCTTATCTGCAAAGTTACTTCTTACATCATAATCAGAACGCGAACTAGGCCTTCCAGGTCCGCTGGATATGTTAAACCGTAAGTCCTCGTCGCGATTTGTATTTCTAGTGCTTTCACCATGAGGAAGTTTCCTGAGATCTTCATCCTGTCCACTATGAAAAGAATTGGTCTCGTTGGAGTGTTGATTTGACTTTGCTCCGGTATACCTTAAATCGGTATCACTAGATTGTGAGTCTTCTGTCATCACTCCGCCGAAAACCGGTTGATGAATCTTCGACGTTCGATCACTGGCTCCACCATCACTCCAACCGATCAGTTGATCAAACTTTCGTTTTCCACCACGATTCAAAGCTTTTAATAATTCGGGATTCTGTGCGAACTTGGAACTAGGTAAAGGTGGAGGAAGTTCAATATCGGGTACTTTAGAATAATCTATTTCGCCGTCGTCTTGCAAATATTCTTCGGAATCATCCATATTATCCGGTGG